TAAGCATTAAGCCCTAGAGATAACATCTAGGCCTCAGTTACATCTCAGCTCCAGGCCCCGAAACAGCACTTGGCCAGGTAGGATGACACCATGGCTGATATCAGGACCAGCCACAATGACTAATGATCCTTTTCCCTGGGGCCCGCCAATCAGCAGAGACCGTGACCCTGAAAGGACACACCTGGAAAGATGATGAGTGTTCTGTTGAGATCCACCCCTGAGACCCCTCCCCCCTTCCTCCCTCCCCTCCTCTTTTCCTCCCTTCCTCTCTTCCTCCCTCCCTCCTCTCTCACACACACATACCTTTGTCCACCTGCTTCTCATTCCAGGCGCGCACTCTCTGGAGCACACACTAGTGCCTGCCTTCCTCCTGAGCTCCAAGGGCTCTTTGCCTCTACAACTTGCTTCCTGAGCCCACGCAGCCCCACTGGCTCACTTCTTCCACTGGTCACTTCTTCTACTCCTGTGACTTTCTAACTAAACTTTTGTTTGTATTCGAGTTCTTGGCTCTGAATTCTTTTCTTAGCTGAACTCAAGGACCAAGGTCTAACATTGCTACTAACAGTTCCAGGACTCCCAAGAAAAGCAAAATCCACAGCTCCTCAATTCCCTTACATGAAATGGTGTTATATGGGCGTACAACCTATGTACCATCTCCTGCATACCTTGAATCCTCTCCAGATCACTTATAATACCTAATGCAATGTAAATGCTATGTAAATGGTTCTAGTACTGTATTGTTTAGGGAATAATGATAGGAAAGAAGCCTGTACTTGTTCAGTACAGACAACCATTGTAGACCTAGCTACATAGTACATGTCAGCAACAATGTGACAATTTTTTCCTGAATATTTTTGATATCTTCGAGTCTACGGATACAGATGAGGAACCTGGGGATTCAGAGGGCCAACTATAATGGTGTCTTAGTTTTGGGGACAGCTTTCCCTGGAGGTGAGGGAGGGGCTTCACTTAAAAATGATTTCTCAGTTTCCATGCTCTGCAACTTGGTGCTCAGTCAGGGTCTCGGTTCTGACCCCCAGCTGTGTCTGAACTCCCACCGTTTTGAGGGCTGACACCCATCTTCTCCATGGTCCATGCTAGTCTTTAGAAAAACCCTTGCTTAGGTTCCCATAGAGGAAAATCTTACCCTTCAACACTCTTATTTTTGGCAAGGAGTGAGATTCAATCGAGAAAATCAAGCAAAGCTAGTTTTTGTCCTCTCTATTACTGTTTCCATTAGCCCCACCTCTGCCTCTAAGAGTCCCATTGAAATAATGCCTGAGGCTTTAACTCTTTTGTCTGCAATGAATGTTCTGCAGTGTAATATTTAAGTGCCAGAAATATGTCCTGACAGGGAAGAAATTCAAGTAATGTGATGGTGCATGCACTTACTGAAAGCTTCACTGAGGCCAGGACTTGAAAAAGCACTATGAAAGATGAAATGCCTATGTTTCTCCTGTGTTCCCCCTTCCAACCCATTCTCTTCTTCTGGTCAGTCTGTCTGACCTGGCAATTTTTGTATAATCAAATTGTACTTTAAAAGTGCAGTTTTAATCAGATGAACCATTAATTCCTGGAAATGCAGTGTCATGCATGGTGTTTCGAGATATTCGTGCCGGCTATTTTTATTTGGAAGCATTTTATTAGTGTTTCTCGGAGTTTCTGTCATTTCTGCCCCCCTTTCTTTCCCAGCCCCTGTTCTCTCTCTCCTCATTGTTCCTTAGCAAGGCCACGAATCTGTGCTCCCTGTGACTCATTATTGCTCACTGTAGTAATCTACTCTTCTTTGTGAGACTAAATTTGGAAGATGCTGGAGTTGCCGTTCTTGAGTCCTAGGAGCACATCCTGTTAACTCTCAACTCTCCATGCTGATGCTAGGAAGCATGGATAGCAATCACAGAAGAGGAACAGCTGCTGCATTTGGTCCTGGCTGAGCCCAGTGTCACGCCACAGAAAGACCTGCTGCAGTCAACAAAGCCAGGGGCTTGACTGCAAAAAAAAGGAACTCTGGATTGCAGGGCCCTAAAGCATGAAGCAAAAAGGTCCAATTATATTTATGTAGCCCTCTGCAGTTTCTAAGGTATTTTGTGAAGCACTGACTGCTTTTCACGACCAGGATAAGAAGTGGGTAAAACAGCTATTGTTTTATTCATCTGGCTTGTGAGGGAAGCTGAAGATTGGATAGGTGTGGTGACTTACCCCACACCACCAGCTTCCAAGCTCTGCCCTCCAGCCACACCCCTGTTCTGCAGCGTGTGCCCTTCACCCCTACAGCTCGCACATCCTGTCCAGACCTCAGCACCTGTGCTAGATCTGGACAGGGAGCACATGGGCGGTCACCACCTCCGTAGACCTAGCCTGGTCTAGAACCAGCAGCTTCCAGCTGGTGGGCTCAGCCCATCTGCAGCTCAATGATCTCTGTGTCCATACCCAGCAACTTGGAGCTCCGTCAGGGTCTGGGTTCCGACCCCCAACTTCTGGTTGTGTCTGAACTCCCACAGTTTTAAGGCCAGATATCCATCTCCTCCATGGCCGAGTCTCAAATCTGGTTGTCCCCGGCTCTCTAGCTGGCTCCTCCATCCTGGCCCCCTGATCTCAGTTATTCACCTCTCCCCTGTCCCCACCAGCTGTGCCTCCTTGCTCCTGCCTTGCCAGTGTTCATTACTCCTGTCTCTCAGATTCTGAAGCCAGCGGATATATTTAGTAATCAACTTAGCTACCCACTGGACTTTCCACACCCGCCTTCCTTCCTGTGGACTCTGCACCTGATCTGAACTCCTAAGAACGCTCCTTATTTGTGTTCTGTAGGCCGGACAGATGATAGACCTGGGGCCCTTTATACTCACCACTCGGCCCCCTCTAACCTATATGAAACTCATATTTTAAAATATTTTTTTTGCTTAGAATTTCAAATCCTGTCAACCTTCTTAGCCTATATTTTCTTGTTCCACACACACATTGATTGTCACAGGCTGTACCCTAGTGAAATAGGATATGTAAAAGCACTTTGTTTAAGCAATACACCTTGTACAAATATACCCTGCTTCTGTTATTACTAGGCAATTCAAGCCAAAGGTGACTTTTTTAAACCTTCCTGGTGGAGGGAGATAGGCTATCAGCTGAAATAGGAACTTAACAATCATTGCCCAAGGCCAAAATAAGACAAGTGTAACAATAGCAACAACAAAAAAGTACAACTATGATCCTACCAAAGCTGACGGAATTATATAGATTATTCCTTCTGACCAGGTTACCACCACAGGTTTTTACATTTTCTTTTATTTATTGATTTTTTTTAGAGAGATGGGGGAAGGGTTTGATCCTTCGTTCCAACCAAGGATCAAACCCACAACCTCAGCATATCAGGACGATGCACTGACCAACTGAGCTACCTGGCCAGGGCTCATAGGACTTTAAGATGTGTCAGGCAACAAAACAAATATTCTAGGTGATTCTCAAGGCCTCAGGACCTTTTTTCTACTCAACCTGAAGATACTGAGTTTTCAGACGGCATCTACCATGATTGATTTTTCCATGCTAAGGTAATAATTGCTTTTAATATTTATACAGCATTTTATACTATTCTTTTTTTTAAAGCTGGATCTTTTTTTTTAAAGATTTTATTTATTTATTTTTAGAGAGGGAAGGGAGGGAGAAAGAGAGAGAGAGAGAAAAACATCAGTGTGCGGTTGCTGGGGGCCATGGCCTGCAACCCAGGCCCTGACTGGGAATTGAACCTGTGACACTTTGGTTCGCAGCCTGAGCTCAATCCACTGAGCTATGCCAGCCAGGTATTCTTTTTTTTAATTTTTAAAAATGTGTTTATTCATTTTAGAGAGAGAGGAAGAGAGAGAAACATCAGTTGGTTGCCTCCCATATGTACTCTGGCCAGGGACTGAACTCACAACCTAGGTATGCACCCTGACTAGGAATCAAACCCCCAAACTTTTGGTGTATAGGATGATGCTGTAACCAACTGAGCCACACGAGCTAGGGCTGTACTGTATTATACTTACCTACATTATCTTATGTTATGAAAAAAGATTTTATGGGAAAAGTAACTTCATTGTTTTAAACTTTTAGATAGGAAAACTGAGGCCCAGAGATCTTAGTTAACTTGCCCAAATGCACTAAACGAGTCGGGGGGGCCCATATACTGGAACTCAGGTTTTTCTGACTCCCAAAGAAAGTGCTTTTTCATTTCTCCAGTCCAGGCGTCTCAGAATGATAAAACACCCTGGAAAAAAAACCTGCTCATCTATTTTATGATTAAGTGAAGCTCTAAAAATTGACATCCACTCAATAATAGAACACAGAATTTATCACTGAGGGGTACATTCAAGAACCTGTGCCTCATTGTGGTTTTCAATAATTATACGCTACTGCCATCTTGTGGATATGCTCATTTGCTGTTAGTACTTCTGCCCGCTTCTGGGACCTAGTGTCATGCCTGGCCAGCATTGCCTAGCTGAATCTGAACAATCAAATGTGAAATGCCCAGGAAAGGGCTGGAGTCAGGGAACTTAGAATAATATTTGAGGGGCCCCTCGACTTAACTGTAGAATTGTCCATTCTCTCCTGCAGCAGATAATACTCTTGGTGACCTTGGAATACTTAAGAGCATTGCTCCTTTGTTCTTCCTCTTTCCCAACAAGACTCTTAATTTTGTTAAGTCTGCATGACTATGTACTTCAGAGGGAGGCTGGCCCAATGTTGGGTCTTCATCCATCCAAGCCTGTCAGTGGTTGGTTTAGGTATGGTCAGGTATTCTGGTCAATGGGATAGGAGGAAGAGCCTATTGGAGCGCTTTTGGGAAGGCTTGCTCTCTTGCAGAGACACACAGGCAGAGATGTGGTTTTTTAAAAATTATTTTATTGTTGTTTAGTTACAGTTGTCTGCATTTTCCTCCCACCACTCCCCACACTGCAACCCAGCCAAACCCACCTCCCTCCCTTGCTTCCACCCCCTTCCTTTGGTTTTGTCCATGTGTCCTTTATAGTAGTTCCTGAAAACCCTTCCCCCCAATTATGGTCTTTTGTTCTCTGGTCTTCGGTTTTGTAATGGACATTATCATTTCCAGATGAGTTGGATCTCTGGCACTGGGACCAAAGGAGTACTGACAAAGAATATGGTAAAAGCAAAGAAGTTCCCCCAAATGGGGCTAAAAATCATGGTGGTGACAGGCTGTTGAGCTGCAAGGTCTTCCAGAGCTTCCCAGGTGTGATCTGAAACCAGTCCCCACGCACAGAGGGCAGGGAGAGACTGAAGAAAATGGGAGATCGCCCCAGGTTGGTAGGTGGCAGGTTTAACAAGGAAGTGAATGTAGGAGACTTGTCGTGGGGACTACAAGACAAGTAGTTTCCTGCAGCGCCCCACCCCCTGCCAAATCTTAAAAGTTTACACAGAGACCCTAACTGGGGTCACCCATGTACACAGGAGGCCTTAACAGAGTCCAGTCATGTACCAAGTCTACGTAGTCTCATCACCACATTACTGTCTCAAGGCTGTGTCCCCGGGGAAGTCTCCAGATCAGGAAAGGCAAGCGGAGTGCACAGGGTTGGAGTGGGGAGCCTCCAATCGCCCAGGTCCAGCTCCCAGGTCAAACTGGCGCTCACGTCTTCATGATAACCTTCGACCCAAATGGTAGAACAGAGGCATTTACTTAGTAACGGAGGTCCAGCAAAGTACTTATAGGGAATCTCCTAAGCTTTAAACCTAAGGATCATATTTCACATATTTCTACAGATGGAGAACACAACTGTTCCAGAGATGCTAAATGGTGCTTCACGGTACAGATTATAAAACCGGCTTAGAGGGGGTACAGCATGATGGGGTCCCTGCAGTCCTGCTTCCCGACTTCCTGTCAGCGAGACCCCTGGCAGGTTTCTGAATCTCTCTAAATCGCAGGTTTCTCCTTTGTAAAAAGCAGATGGTAACACTTGCCTGTTAGGGCTGACCAGTAGAGTACCCGGTTTATGATATGGGCTCGATGGAGCAGGCACTCTTGTTATAAGAATGTTTACATGTTAGTAATAAGGCTACTACTCTAGCCTGTTACCTAATAAAAGTTTTATTCTGTTAAACACATGGCAACCAATAGTTTCTTGACTGATAATTTAATGTTTCAAAAATAGAAGAAACAATTCACAAAACTTCCCTTTGGATTTTGTAGAATTTTAAAAAATGGTGGTGGGAATCTCTGGCGAAAGCCACCACACGAGAGACAGTGTGTGTAGGAGCAGACGTGGCTCCGCCTCGTCAGCTCTGAGCCGTGGACTCCTGGACTCGTGGACTCCTTACTCGGTCCCTCCGAGCTTCGGTGTCCTCGTCTATAAAGTGCAAACAATGACTATTGTGCAGGGCGACTGTCAGAAATGATTGGTGAATGTTTTCTGACACGTAGTAGACATGCAGTAACTAACATCTATTCCTACTACTGCTGTAGAAATTAGAGTGGTCGATTTCACAGAACTGAATGGAAGAATATACATATGATCTCAAGACTGAGACTCTAAAAGAGGTGGACGGTTATTTTTTTTTAATTATCAGAAAAATAAACTAGACTCATTGGGCTCATGGCACTGCCCCCTCTTGTGCTGCTCGGTAAGTGTTTGGCACAATTTACCTCTTTCTTCTCCACTTCCTTTGCTCAACTCTGCAATTGTCAGTGATTCCTACAGGAAAGAAAGAGAGGCTTGGGAAGAAAATACTACTATTGTAAAGAAGTCCTTCTTTTAAAAAGTGATGTATTGTTATTGTATTGCAGTTGCCCCAGTTTTTCCTCCTGTGCCCTCCTCTGCCCAGCCACTGTTATAAAGAAGTTCTTGGACTTCCGGCAAGATGGAGGCATAGGTGGACGCACCGTGCCTCCACGCACAACCAAGATTAGAACAACAACAGTTTAGAGGCAGAATAATACCCAGAACTGACAGAGAATTTATCTGAATGGAAGTTGGACAGCCAAGAAGTTGAAGTAGACCCGTTCATCCAGACCGGTAGGAGGGGCGGAGATGAGCGCGGGTTGCAGCGCGTGGAGTGCGGAGAGAGCTGGGCCCCTAAGGCAACCGGGAGCGAGTAAGCCCTCCGGGGCACACAGCGGGTGGACCCTGAGTATGCAAGCGGCGACTGGCGGACCCTGTGAGGCTGCGATTGTGGACCAGGGCAGAGCACGCAGCCCAGGATCCCAGGGAAGAGACTGAGATCCCGGAAGAGTGGGGCTGCTGCCCCTGCCCCCACCCCCACATACTACGTCACAACCTAGTGACTGGGGTGCCCAGCCCTGGTGAACACCTAAGGCTCCGCCCCTCACCGTAACAAGAGTGACCAGACAGAAAAAATAAAAAAAAGAGAGAGCGATGGCTCAAATAGAAGAACAAATCAGTGCCCCAGAACTCATCCTTTTGAGCGACCAAGAAATAGCCAATCTATCAGATGCACAGTTCAAAACACTGATCAGGAAGCTCACAGAATTGGTTGATTTTGGGTGCAAATTAGATGAAAAAATGCAAGTTACCATAAAAGAGATGAAGGAAGATGCATGGAGAACCAATAGTGATAAGAAGGAAACTGGGACTCAAAACAATAGAGTGGACCAGAAGGAAGAAAAAAGAAACCAAACAGGAAATAATGAAGAAATAAGAATTCAAAAAAAACGAGGAGAAGCTTAGGAACCTCCAGGACATCTTTAAATGTTCCAACATCCAAATTATAGGGGTACCAGAAGGGGAAGAGGAAAAGCAACAGATTGAGCATGTATTTGAACAAATAATAAAGGAGAACTTCCCCATTCTGGCAAAGGAAATAGACTTCCAGGAAATACAGGAAGCTCAAAGAGTCCCAAAGAAGTTGGACCCAAGAAGGAACACACCAAGGCACATCATAATTACATTACCCAAGGTAAAAATGAAGGAGAGAATCCTAGAAGCAGCAAGAGATAAGGGGACAGTAACCTACGAAGGAGTTCCCATCAGGCTGTCAGTTGATTTCTCAAAAGGGACCTTACAGGCAAGAAGGGGCTGGAAAGAAATATTCCAAGTCATGAAAGACAAGGACCTATACCCCAGATTACTTTATCCAGCAAAGCTTTCATTTAGAATGGAAGGGCAGATAAAGTGCTTCTCAGATAAGGTCAAGTTAAAGGAGTTCATCATCACCAAGCCCTTATTTTATGAAATGTTAAAGGGACTTATCTAAGAAAAGAAGATAAAGAAAAAAACATGTATAGTAAAAGGACAGCAAACTCACAATTATTAACAAACACACCTAAAGCAAAACCAAAAGAAACTAAGCAAACAACTAGAACAGGAATAGAACCACAGAAATGGAGATCACATGGAGGGTTAGCAACAGGAGAGTGGGAGGAGGAGAGAGGGGGAAAAGGTACAGAGAATAAGTAGCATAGATTGTAGGTTGAAAATAGATAGGGGGAGGGCAAGGATAGTATGGGAAATGTAGAAGCTAAAGAACTTATAAGTATGACACATGGACATGAACTAAAGGGGGGAATGTGGGTGGGAGAGGGTGTACAGGGGGGAAATGGGACAACTGTAATAGCATAATCAATAAAATATATTAAAAAATAAATGCAAAATATAATGAAACAAAAAAAGAAGTTCTTGATTAGCTGAAAATTTAAAAGGTTGAGTAATAAGTATGACAGGCACCTCTTCTGGTTTTGAGAGTTCCGCTCAGGTGCTGTATTAAGCACTTTTTAGAGATTATACTCTTTAATTCTTTCTGGTTTGGCCTACAAATTATAAGAAGATGACTTTACAGTGGACATTTGTGATTATTTCTTCTTACTCAGCCTCCAGATTGCCTTTATAAGTTTGAGGAGTAGGTGATTGTGTGAGGCAGAGCCCTGCATCGCAATCAATGAAGCCAGAAGGCCCTGGTGGTAGTTCTTCCTGATTGCTGACTGCCTGGGGCCTAAGCATGATTGGTCAGCCGATCCCTTCCAGAGCACGATGCTGGAGATAGGAGTCAAGAAAAGCAGGAAATGTGTAAACTTTATTTTGGTAGCAGTGACATTTAGTATCTGGTAGCAGCAATGGCAGCTGAGTCAGCTATGGCACCCAACCCCCAGGCCACTGCCAGTGTCCAGCAGCAGCAGCAGCCTTCCTGTGGTATAGCATGGTTTCCTCTGTGGGTCTGGCCACCCAGCCTCCCTTGGTGCCTGCCTGTATTCCTAGACTCATTCTCCAGCTTTTTCATGGATTCTTTGAGCTCCTACTACTCTTTCAAATAAAATTTTTTTTGGCCCTGACCTGACACCTGTTGGGTGTCATCCTCCAGGATGAAAGGTCACCGGTTTGATTCCTGGTCAGAGCACATGTCTGGGTTTTGGGCCCAGTCCCTGGTTGGGGCACATGCGAGAGGTGACCAATTGATGCGCATCGATATTTCTCTCCCTCTCTTTCTCCTTCTGTTCCCCTCTCTTGAAAAGTAAATAAATAAAATCTTTTTAAAAAACTCATTTTTCTGAAACTGGGGCTCAAATCAATGATTTGGATCAGAAGGAAGAAATAAACATTCAACTTGAAGAGAATGAAGAAACAAGAATTCAAGAAAATGAGGAGAGGCTTAGGAACCTCTGGGACAACTTTAAACATTCCAACATCCGAATCATAGAAGTGCCAGAAATAGAATAGGAAGAGCAAGAAATTGAAAACTCACTTGAAAAAATAATGAAAGAAAACTTCCCCAATCTGGTGAAGGAAATAGACATACAAGTCCAGGAAGCTCAGAGAGTCCCAAAGAAGTTGGACCCAAAGAGTAACACACCAAGAAACATCATAAATTACATTACTCAAGATTAAAGGCAAGGAGAGAATCTTAAAAGAAGCAAAAGAAGAGAGTTACCTACAAAGGAGTGCCCATAAGACTATCAGTTGATTTCTCAAAAGAAACCTTACAGGCAAGAAGGGGCTGGAAAGAAGTATTCCAAGTCATGAAAGGCAAGGACCTACATCCAAGATTGCTCTATCCAGCAAAGCTTTCATTTGGAATGGAAAGGAAGATAAAGTGCTTCCCAGATAAGGTCAAGTTAAAGGAGTTCATCATCACCAAGCCCTTATTTTATGAAATGTTAATGGGATTTATCTAAGAAAAAGAAGATCAAAACTATGAAAAGTAAAATGATAACAAACTTACAACTATCAACAACTGAACCTGGAAAAACAAAAACAAAAACAAACTAAGCAAACAACTAGAATAGGAACAGAATTACAGAAAAGGAGATCATTTGCAGCCATGGGATCTTCAACCGCATGTGAGAGCAATCTGGAGAGACTTTGACAGCTCATGTCAGCATAATACCTGCAGCTGCCACTTGCCTTTCTTATAATATTAAAAAAAAAGAAAGAAAGAAAGAAATGGAGATCACATAGAGGGATATCAATGGGGGTGGGGGGTGTCGAGAATGGGGGAAAAGGTACCAGGGATAAGAAACATAATTGGTAGGTACAAAATAGACAGGGAGAGGTTAAGAATAGTATAGGAAATGGAGAAGCCAAAGAACTTACAGGCAGGGCCCATGGATATGAACTAAGAGGGGGAATGCCAGAGGCAGGAGGGTATAGGGCGGAGGGGGATAAAAAGGAGAAAAAAATGGGACCACTGTAATAGCGTAATCAATGACATATACTTTAAAAATAAAATAAAAATTCCTTTTTCAATTTCAGTTAACCAGACTCAGTTTTTGTTGATAGCAACCAAAAGATTCTGGCTAACTACCTAGTTTTTAGAACATGTTCCATCCGAAAGAGTCTGCTGTTGCTGAATAAAGTCATGGTCAAATTTACAACTGGTCTGGGAGTTCTTTGAATTTCATGTAAAATGCCTGCCGGCCCACCCTAAACCGCTTCTTCCTCCATCTCCCACAACTTCTTAATTCACACTCAATAAACACATACTCAGCACCTACCACATACAAGGCAATATGCCAGGCACTGAGAGGACTCTGAGATCAATAAGCTGTAGCCCTGACAGTATGCTTTTGAATTTGAACCAGGAAAATGTATTTTCTTTCCAAAAAGTAAATGTAAAAGCTGATCACTCTGTTGAGGGTAGAAGTGAAGGGAAACTGTTTTTATCTTTGAGTTACTGTCATTGGGGGCAAGGTGATGTCCATTTCTTTGTAAATGTTCCAGAAATCAACCCCTAAAGGCAACTGGATTCCTTTGTTAGAGGTTCCAGTAAAAAAGAAACAGGTAGCTCTCTAGAGCACTGAGAAAAGAATGCCTCATCTGAAGTTGACAACTAGATTGCTGTTCATCAAAACATTTGTGATGAGGATGAGGGATGGGGAATTAGTGCCAGCGCATTAGAAGTGTAACTCCAGATAATGCAGAGTCCTCAAATAGAATCAAAGAAACATCAGTTTCACATGAAAATACTATCCAGTTTACCTCCTTTTCCTTCAATTACCAAGTGAGTATTTCTCCAGCGGAGTGGGGACTCTGCTGGCTGTGGAGCCCCTATAATATAGCGATTGCCCAGGAGGGTGGACACTTGTGTATGAAAAACACAGAATATGCAACATAGTCAAGGAAGAAGGGCACACGTGAGTAATGTTACTAATGTTCATGTTGAAGCAGGTGTTTCCACACACCCAGGAAAAACTGGTCACACGCATACAACACTTACTTCATAGGAGCTTAAACTGGTGAGCTGAGCACTCGCAAGACCCTCAGGCACAAGCGGGAAGTTTGGTCTAGAAGTCAGACTTGGTTTTGGGGTCAGGTCTTCACTTCTTGGGTGACTTTGGACAAGTTGTTTAACTACTGTAGGACTCAATTTTCCTTCAGACTCCCTTCAGAACAGGAAGGGAACTTAGAGAGGGTATAAACTAGTCTTCTACTTCTACATGACTTTTCTTTGAAGCACCCCCAATAAACTTCTGACACTGATGACAGGATGCTCACTCTCTCCGGGTGACTGCTGTCATTTTGGAAACACTTTGACTGTTAGAGATGTTCTTCCATACATATTTGCAACGTGTCTCTCCACAGCTTTTCTCTTGCTGGTAACCTCAAAGGTCAAGTCTAACCCATGGACGGCTCTTTCAGAAAACTTTCAACTGCCTTTGCTTTTCTCCTCTACAGGCCCAAACCACCCACTCTTCTCCACTGTTCTCATCCATCACGTTCAAGATCATGGCAGCATTCTGGTCTTCATATTGTTATGTTTGTAGGGCACAGGTTAAGCACTCTGAGGCCTCAGACACAGTCTGAATTTGAATACTGGGACTGTCGCTTAGCTGTGTGCCAGTGGGCAAGCTACTTTGATTTCTCCAGACCGATTATCTCTCTAAAATGAGGACAGTATAAATAATAACCAGCAGCAACAGCAGCCTACCTATCTCTTAGAGAAGCTGTGAAAGAGATAAATGAGCAAATACAAGTAAAATGTTTAGTGTAATACCTGGCAATATTACTGCTGCTATCACTAATAATAGTAGATAATAAGCTCTAATAATGAGAATAAGAATAAATGTTCGAACCTGAAGGATTTAGAAATGTTAACCTAGTTAATTCATGACTCCACAAAGAAAGTTTGGTTGCTCTAACGTGAAACTTCCCATACTTTTCATAGCAATTACCACTTTCAATTGTGTGTTCAACGTCTGATCCACCCCGAAGAGGGTGAGGACCTTTTCTATTGTGTTGACAGCTGAGTACTTAATGCCTAAATCAGTGTCCTGTTCATAGTCGTTAAGAGAATGGACAAACACCTTCATATCGTAGAAAAGGAAACCGGGGTGCTGGGGGAATGGCAGCTTTGCCTAAGATTGTGCAGAGGGCTCCCAGGAGAGCTGGAGCAAGAACCCAGAGGTCCTGAGCAGGCCACTCGCAGAGTCAAATCAAGGTCCAGCCGGAAAGTTTGGTGATTCTGGCGGGAGCACAAATATCAGGTGGTGTAGACTTCAACATTCCCACTAGGCGGCCTAAGGCCCGCTCCCTATTTTCGGGTTGTGAACCGAAGGAGAGGCCAAAGACGGGCGTGTCCCGGGGCGCGGCGCTAACACCCATTTGCAATGCTCCTCACCCGCTCGGGGTTGTTGCTTTGTTGCTGCTGCAGCCCGGCCATCCCAGCTGGGTCGGCTCCCCGAAGCAGCGAGGCAGCGAGTGGAAAACAACTCCGGCTGCAGAGAGACAATTAACAAAGACGGGGGACCGGGCCACCCATTCCCAGGGCACGCACGCATGCAGCGTGGGCAGAGCTGTACCCGCCTGTGCCCTCGATGGGGAGCGCCGCTCAGACGTCTGGTGTGGCGTGGGTCTGGGCAGCCCGGAGCTCCTCCCGCCCGGGCTGCGCAGTCACCGGGGGGCTGAGCTCTGCGTGTGAGCCCGGGCACCTTGCACGCGCACGGTGAGTCTGCCTGGCAAGACAAGGCGGGCGGGGGGGGGGGGGGGGGGGGGGCTGGAACTGCTACTGTCAGATCTGAAAAGGGAGGTGGAAGAACGCGGGAGCCACGACGCCCTGTCCCGGGTTGCATTGTAGGTAGCTTTGTGTCTTGAGCCTTAGATAATGCAAACAACCAGCTCCATGCGACCCGACCGAGTGGTTTTACAGGTGTCAAACCGAGGCCCAAGGGAGGTAAGCTGGTCTAGTAAAAACTAATCATTCCTCGTGTCTGTTTGTCCCTGCCCGTTTCCGTGTAAAATCTGAGGCAACTTTTAAAAAGAATCCATACATTAAAACAATGGAATGATTCAAACAATGCTAAAGAATCCTTGCCAAGGAAAGTATAATTATAAATAGGCAGTCAAGGCCAGGGGAAAAGAGAACGGAAATCTGACGTCCATCAGGGGAGCAGCCTTGGCCGAGGGGGGCTCAGAAAAATAGTGCCAAAGCTGGGGCTGGAAGCCAGACAGCTGGTTGAGCTCCCGCTACAGTGCCCCCTGCCGGTCGAGCCCCTGGACCTTGGGGGAATGGAGAAGAGGACAGCCTGCCCAGGTTCTTAACCTTCTTGCAATCACTGACCCCTTAGAAATCTGGGTGCCCTCCCCAAGAGGGGTTCACATATAGCCTTGCATTCGGTTTCAGATTTGACATGAAGCATATCTGCTGTTGTCAGGAGTAACTGAGGTTGTTACTTGGGCTGCACTGTTTCAGACCAGTTTATTTTTTCCTTTAAGGGGAAGCATCTGGGTCCTGGCTTGTGTGGCTCAGTGGACTGAGCACCCACCTGTGCACTACAGGGTTGCTGGTTTGATTCCCAGTCAGGGCACATGCCCGGGTTTTGGGCCAGGTCCCCATTTGGGGCGCCCGAGAGGCTACCACACATTGATGCTTCTCTTCCCTCCCTTCCGTTTTCTGTAAAAATCTTTTTTTAAAAAAGGAAAAAAAGGGAAGCATCTGGTTAAAGAGTATCTGCTGTGAGTCCAGACAGAGTCCTGGTGATGCAGCACACATAGTTCATCCTCTCAAAGGCCCAGTTTTCTTTCTCTGTTTCGTACTTCAGGCTTTTGTCAGACTTCAGAATGAACGCTGAGTTTGGAGCCTAGCGTGGAGTAAGTGCTCTATAAAAGTGGTGCACATAACCCAGTGACATAACCCAGTGCCTCACAGCTGTGCCACTTGGAAAGGAAGCTGGGCCGTTCCCAAAATGAAATAAAACAGAACTTGAAAAATTATAAACCTGCGAGTATAAAGTCAACCCTGTTATGACTTACAAATGGCAGCACCTACCTTGTGGTAGTAATCTAAATGAGAGTATACTTATTTAGAATAATGCACTACACTCAATATTTGACCCAAGGTCAAATGCTGAAAATAGAAACTACCAGACATTTAAAAAAAGAAAAGAGAGGAAAAAATAAAACGAAACTGCCAGACATTCTAACAAAAACTGTTTATTAGGCCTCACTTCCCTCTCTGAATAGGGTTTGTTTTTCAATGGGAGGAAAGACGAGGACACACTTGGGAACCTGGGTGGCGAACAGGCTTGCCCAGTGACGGCGGGTCCGCTGAGTTTCCGCCAGGGCACAGACAGGGCTGCTGGCAGTTGGCTCACACCCCTCTTGGATCAGCTACTCACTGTGCTAAACAGTGCCTTGGTTGATTCTGCTCTAGATCAAATAAATGGCTTTTTATTTAACGAATGGGGGGAGGGTGTCTTTGGGTGCTGACACTGAAGCAAAGTGGCATTTGATGACCTTGATTTTCCAAAGCTTATTGCTTGTTTATTGACAAGCTTCAGAATTTAAAAAAACCTATGAATCCAAAATCATGGGGACAGGGCCTGGGCAGGCCTCCTTATCTATAAAAAGAACTGCTCTTACAAAATCCAGTTTTGTCTCTTTTCTCTACCATTTTAGGCCTTGCAGTTACAGCCAGGGAAATACAGCTAGGAAAAGTAGCTGGGGACAAGAACGTGCATGCCTAAAAAAGTGCTCCTGGTGGTTCTTATACACCCTTGGTTATGAGTGTTGGTAGGGTGGGGATTAGTTGTGGGGGACTATTGAATCTTTTACATTTCTGTATTGTTTACCTAGTTATGTAATGAACAAGAACCTGTATTGTAATTTCAGCAAACAAATAAATCAACAACCCCTTGGTGTCCAGTGAAGACATATGGGTAGCAAAAAAGTACTTGACAATAGGCCCAAGATCATTAATTGGGGAAATGCACACTAAAACCACAATGACATATTACTTCGTACCTATCAGGTATGGCTAAAATTAAAATGATTGACTACACACAGCGTTAATGAGGTTGTGGACAAATTGGAACTCTTATACACTGTTGGTGGGAATGTAAACTAGTACCACCACCTAAAAAAGTTTTACATTTCCTTTAAAAGTTAAATATATACCTATTAGGTGACACAGGCATTTCATTCCTCAGTCCAGCTTTATTGTAATAGAGAAACGAGAAACAATCGCTATGTGGATAAATAAACTATGGTATATCCATTTAATAAAATACTGCTCAGCATTAAAAAGTAAGACCTATTGACACATCCTACAATATGGATGCATCTTAAAATAATTTTCCTGGAAGAAGCTAGAGAAAGAAGAATAGTACATGCTGTACAATTTTATTTGTGTAAAATTGAAGGAGAGTTGCTATCTCTCACCTGACCTCAAAATTTTTAATGACTTTCAAAAGTTGTGTATGATCATATTAGTCTAACTCCACTTGTAAGTGTTGTTGGCAATTTGATGATTATTCTGCCAGTGTTTATCCATGTCATTTATGCATTCATTCAACTAGTTGAGCACCTACTATGTGCTAGATCTAGAATTGGCACTAGGTAATGTGTTGGTGAATAAAAGAGACATGATCCCACCCTGGCTGTGTGACTAAGTGGCTTGGAGCATTGCCTGCGCACCAAAAGGTTGTGGGTTCGATCCCCAATCAGGGCACATACCTAGGTTGCAGGTTCACTCCCCAGTTGGGACACTTACAGGAGGCAACCGATTGATGTTTCTCTCTGATATTGATGTTTCTCTCTGATATTGATGTTTTGTTCTGTCCTTCTTCCTCTCTCTCTAAAAATCAATAAACATATCCTCAAGTGAGGATTAAAAAAAGGCTATAAAAGAGACATGATCCCTGCTCTTGAGGAGTGTACAATCTATCAAATGAACCAGTAAAACAAATAGAGTAAGAAAATATCTATTGGGGGAAAGGAGTGGTTCTTTGGAAGGGGGATGGGAGTCAGGGAGGACTTGCCTGAGTTTTCAGCAGGGAGGTAAAGCAATCGGTTTTATGCTTTTGAATGACCACTCCACTCAGAGGCTGTGCATTCAGTCTGGAGGCTGTTGTACTGGCCCAGGAGAAAGGTGACAGAGGTTTAGACTCAGGTGGTCTTCGAGATGGAAAGCACCGAAAGAACTAGTGGGTATCCTTAATAGACAGAGAAGATCCTAGAGGCTGATACTGATCAATGCTCTTTGAATTCGGCAGTTTTATCAATTTTCAGTCCATACTAACTGTCTTATTGCCTCCCCCACCTCTGGCCTCCATCATTACATCTTATTCCTTATTTGTGAGGATGTCACGGGAGACTGGCGCCACCGCCTTGCTGGTCCGGTTACACTAGCTTACAGCATTCCTTTGATCTACTGATCTAGTTAACTTTACTTAAGGGAATGAGGATAGTCTGGCATGACCTGTTTGGTGGTGTTGTTGTTGTTAACCTAGGCCGGCTCCAAGGGCTCTCTTTCATTCTCTAAAGGCTTATAGAACATCTGTTTTAATCAGGTGGCAGACACCCGACTCAGCATGGATCATGGCAAAGCAGGGTGGGGAGTGAAAATGTAAAAAAAGTCCAAAGAGAATCAGATTTGTTTCATCATGGCCGGGCTGAGTAGTGCCATTGGAGCCCAGTCTCATGGTCCCTCTTATCTCTCCGCTCCATTTCTTCGGTGTTAGCTGGGTTCTCAGTCAAGCTCTTGTGCATAGTTATTATTATCATCATCACGGTTACCTCTTCCCACCGTCCGCTTCAATATGGCCCGTCAAGTGTCCTTAGACAACTGCTTCATCCATCTGACCCATAGTAATGTTATGGCTTTTAGTTTAACAATAATAGTGACAAAAACAACAGTTACTATTATTGAGGGCTTATGATGTGCAGGCACTCTGTGAGACACTTTATGTGGATTATCTAATTATAAGAAAGGTCATATAATCCTCTCAGGAAAGCCAGCCAGTTGATTGCAGAATCAATTTAAAATCAGATTTTCTGGCTCCAGGATCTGGGCTC